GGCGGGGGAGGCGCGCGCCCATGCCTCGACGAAGGCGGCCGCCAGCCGCTGGACCTGGAGCATCGACATCACATTTGGTGAGGAAGGAGCGCGAGCATGGACAATTGAGGACGGTCCAGGTGAAAGTGGGGGGTCGAGATTGTCGCCGCACGGTCTGAACTCCGCGATCACGTAGGGGAGGCTGCCGGCCCAGGCACACTGCATCATTTCGGCCGCACCTCCCACCCCCCTCGACGCCCGGCTGAACGCCTCTGCCGCTGCGCCCCAATGCGCCCCTCGGGCGGCCTCGGCGCAGAGCAACAAAAAGGAACTTCAAAGGTGTGCGAGCGGGGGCGCGTGCAACCCCACACCTGCTGGCCGTTGCGGCTTCCGAGCAGCTTCACCAGGGCGCGCGCGTCGTCGCCGCTCAGCGCCGCGGCCCCCCCGCCCACTCCGTGGTCGGCAAACCCGCCCGCCGCGCCGCCCAGCGCGCCCGCGAGCCGCTCGGACGCCTTGCCGCTGCCGACGTGCGCCAGCAGGGCGGGCGCCGCGCCGGGGCGCTGCAGCAGGCGTGCGGCGCAGTGGTGGCTGGCCAGGAGGTCGCACAACACCGACTCTGCCGCCGCCTGCTCTGGGCTCGGGTCCTCGCAGGAGACGCTGAGCAGAAACTCCAATAGGGAGTTGCCGCCGAGCGCCACCAGCGCCTCCCGCGACTCGGGGTCCCGCGACCAGTGGCCGAGCCACTCGGCCGCCTTGGCCTTGGCCGCGCCGGCCGCGGCGCCGCCGGGCGCGGCCGCGGCGGCGGCGCGGGAGACGGCGGCGTGGAGGCGCGCGGCGAGGTCGGCGGCGAGCCCGACGTCCATGCCGTGCTGCGGATTGTGCAGAAAGAAGTGTTGACAGATCCATCAAGCAGGTAATGCTTGTGTTGAGGGGCTTGGTGGTCGCGCATGGGCGAGGTGGCTGGCAGCATCATCAGCAGGCAGCAGACGCTGTGTTGGCGAGCGTGGCGGCGGTGTGCCCAAGCTGCATCACTGCAAGAGGCAGGTCGGGTAATGTATCGATTACCGCACCTCTTTGTCCATCTCATGGTGGATATGGGGACCCGCGGTGTGATGCAGACTTGCGCCAAGAATGCCCGCACCCGCGGCCAACCCGCCGGCGATCCATAGCTTCCAGTAGGTTTTAGCTTTCTGTTGAAGCTCCCTGCTTGTCACCACTCGACTCATAAGGACACCATCCGCGCTGTGCAGCTGTCACTGGCGATCTGCAGGTTGTCGCTGCCCCGTACGGGATGTTGTACCTATAGGATTGACACCGATGATGCAGCGAGCATGGTTTGAGGAGCGGTCAGAGCCCGCCAGGATGCCGCCTCATCAGCACGATTACTAACGTCACGATGCCACATGACTCTTGCGACGTCACTTGGGTCCTACTGCAGGCATGACTCGATAGGAAGCATGGCCTACATGCCATGTGAGGCAATTGCACAGCGCTGATACCAACCCCTTGTATAAACAGGCCCAGGCTGGCACTGCCCGATGGAAACCACAGCGGCGCTTGGTTTCCACAAGTCCACCGCAAGTCCACCGCAACAGCTACCAGAGCCACATGAGTACGATACTCAGGCTATGCATGTGATTCCTGTGAATCTGACTTGATAGCTGTGTCAGATTCGCCAACATGGCATACACAATCGTACTGCAGGCATCAAGGTATCCGCTTTCAGAACACATTGCTGGCCACCATCCTATCCGTTTTCCATGTAAAAACGTAGATGCGTCACGTTGTTTCCCGAGGGCTACTCGCACCATCCGTGCGTTCGCCATGCCATGAGCACACCAGCGTGATGGCCCGCAACGCTGCTGATGCTGAGACGCAGCTGCGGGCCAGCGCAAACCGCCCACCATGGACTTCTCGGTGGATGGCAAGAGCTGCGTTATCTAGCCCCTGCTGCCATGTCATCATGTTGCACTCCGGCACTGAAGCGGCTGCGCCGGAATCCAAAGCTGGCTGATCTTCGCACAGCAGGCCGCATGCAGACTTGCACCAGCTACCCAGCCGCTAGCGCTGGCGACGCTGCGAGCCGTCACCAACTGCCAACATGACGCAGCAGCCGCCTGTCCACCATGCCGTCGTAGCTACTGGCCAGCCGCCCGCCTGTGCCGAGCCCGGACGCCATCGGTCGCTGCGGCACCAGGGATGGCGCGCCTGGCGCCATGGCCTCTTCTCAGCTGCTGGCGCCGAGCGCTGTGGCGGCGAGTCGCTGCAGCATGACGAGCTGCTGCTGCACCTCGCCCCTGTGGCTGTCGGGGATTGTGCCTAGCGCGCCCGCGCTGCCGTCCACCATGAACGACTGGCCGTCTGACATGGGCAGGGAGGGGAGGGGGCAGGCCGGAAGGGGGGTTTGCTGACTGGCAAAGCACAGGCGCGTGTCGAGAAGGCGGCTGGCGGCGCCGTGCTTCAGCTAAGAGCACAAATACAGTGGGTGTCGGCTCGGACAGAGCGGCTCACACGTATAGACACACAAAATACACACAAGATACACACACACCCACACACACAAACGCACATGTAATACAGTCCGGGAGCAACGGTGCAGCGCTCTGTGTTGCTGCGATGCAAAGCTGTGCTTGCGGCGCCACCATGCCTGCTTGGCTCATCCCCTCATGCAAACCCAGCGACAGCGCCCGGGCAGGGGCTGCTTTTCTTAACCCACCCGCGGTGGTGATCATGATGGCAGCAGTGTCGGGCTGCACCACCTCGCGCCGCCGCCCGCGCACTGCGCGCCCCCGCGCGCCGCCCGCAGCCGCGCGTGCGCCCGCGCCCACGGGCGCCTCGCGCTTGAGCAGCGTGATGCAGCCGACGGCCGAAGTGTGAGCTGGCGCGTGGGCGGGCGTGAGGCCATACTGCTGCTGCTGCGCGGCGGCGCCGCGGGTGCGGCCGTTGACCGCTGGCATCACCGACAGCAGCGACCCTTGGGAGTGAGAGTGGTGGGATGGGATGACAGTTTGTGAGCTTGTAACGTTGTCGAGCTAGGGCTCAGCAGTGCACGCAGTATTGCCGCAGCACTGGTCACACCCGCAGGGCACGCTGCTGTGTCCTGCACCAGCGAGCCGCACGCGGGTGGCGGGAGCCAGCCACACCTCCCCCCCCTCCCCCGCGACCCCCTCACCCCGCTTAGAGTACATCATCTCCCCAGGCATCGCCCCGCGCGCAGCTGTGCCGCGCGGCGCCGTGCCCTCAAGCGCCGCAAGCTTCGCGTCCACCCGCGCCCGCGCCTGCGCCTGCGCCTCCGCGCCGCGGGGCGCTGCCGCCGCCCCCTCTGCTGCGGCGCCGCCGCCGCGGTTCTCTGCGCCCCCGCCCGCCGCCTCGCTGCTTGGGCCCGGGATGGCGGCCACGGGGCTCTCTGGTTCGCCCTGGCCATCGCCCGCCACGGGGGCGTCAAACTTCGGCACTGGCTGCCGCGCGTCCGCCGCCGCCGTCACCGCCCCGCCGCCACGCCGGGTGCCGCGTGCTGTCGCCGGCGCCGCTGTCTGCGGGTCTGCGACGGCGCCGCGGGGGCGTCCCCGGCCTCGCGCGGCCGTTCGGCCGGCGGCGACCGTCTGGGCGGAGGCCTCCTGGGCCTCTTGCAGCATGCTGTCGATGCGCGCCTCGGCGGCGCTCGCTGGCTCCACGGCGCGGGTGGCGGCGTAGTCTGACCAGAGCGTTTCGCGCACCTGCGAAGGGCGAGCCGGGGGAGAATGCATCAGATCACTGTCAGCTGCAGAGTCTGGCCCATAGTGGCCTCGGCGCGCACATTCAGCAAACTGCGTTTGAAATTATATATTCATACAAATGCAATTCAAGCTGTCCCACTTGACGCGCACGTTTCTCCTGCTGCTGCGCCAAGCGGCGGGGGCCAGCGCACGTGATGCGTCGGCACGCGCCTGTTTGGGGATGCCAGTCTTGAGGCGGATCTGGAAGTCCTGCATAAACGCCTCCACTATCTCCTGCGCGGCCTCCGCTATCGCCTGGCATCGCTCCTCCACTGCGAATGGGGCAGGCTGCTTGAACGCTATGTCACGACAGCCGCGTCCCCGCGGTCTCTCAAACCTCACCTGCACGGTCAAGCGCCTTTAGCTTATCTTGAACCTTTCTGGCGACCTGCTCGCGGTCTGCATACTCTTCAATGGCATCGACGGGCTCGTGCTGCTGCTGCTCGGCGTCCTGTTTGCGCTTTCGAGGTGCCATGGCGCTTCGAACGAGATTATTGCTGTGTAATATCACCGATGCAATGGCTGAGCTGCTTGGTGCTGCTGCCGGCAGATCGTTGCGGGTCGCGTGTTGTGCAGCGCCGCTGCTCAACGCACCCGACGGTGCTTACCTATGCTTTGCAGGGCTTCTAACTTTGAATGGCAGCTGTTTGAAATTTCCGTAAAAAAAATATGAAACAGTGCATTTCAAAGCAGAGGACGCTGTGGCGATGCAACGCGGCAGCTGCCACTGAAGCTTCCTGAACTGCAATATTGCTGTCTGCTTCTGTTGAGGCAACCCCACCCGATTGCTGCGTCTGGGTCGTACGCGTGAGCTGCCACCAGACGCTGCTGCGGCTGCAGCCGCCAATCATGGGCGGCCAGGGTGGAGCGCCACAAGTGCTCCAGGACAGTGGCCCACAGCGAGCGCCGTAGATGTAGAGTGGTTTCCTGTAAAAATTACAGCTACGAACACATGACCAGCCTAGCTACAGCTACTGCTAGAAGAATAGGGCTGTCTCGCATGATCGAGCGGTGCCACAGAGACCGCAGGCCGGCGGCCGCGCCGGCGCCGCCCGCTCACGGCGCCTCTGGTGGCCAAGGCAGCTCCGCCGCTTTTACGCCGCGCCCCGCCCACACCAGCGGCATCCGGCCGTCCAGAAGCTTCTTTATTGCTCGGAGGTCAAGCCGCATGTCGGTTTTCGTCTGAGACTCGATGCACTCCTCTGAGCCCTGGCAGTCTTCCTTGGTCCAGTGAGCAAATCTGGGAGCAGTGTGCCAGGGTGTGTGGGGTTGACAATGATGGGTGAGCTGGGCGTGCCCCAAAGCCTAAATACCAAGGCGGCTGAGGGTGATGGTGGTGCTGGCGGCTGATGCGTGCGCTGGGGGGGGAGCGAGCGGGAGAGTGCCCGCAGGAATGCATAACGCGTACCCACAAGCAGCATCCTTGCCGCGCCCAAACACTCAATGTCTTGCAGCTTCTCGTCAACACACACGCGCCTCGCCCAGCTCAACTTGCTGCCCCGGCACCCACTTGATCGCGTCCCTCTGGTCAATGTGGATGCTCTCGTTGGGCCTGTTGGCGCGCCAGGCCCAGTGGTGGATGTCGCCCATGATGGCCGTCTGCTCCTTGAACGACCGGTCGATGTCCATCCAGGACCAGTGGCGCTGAGAGGGCGGGGTGCCGTGTTGGCAGGAGGGGCACGGCGGCAGGGTGGGGATGGAGATGGGGTTGGCGGTGGGGGTGGCTTCCATTAGAGGTGACGAGAGGACCGCAAAGTGTCTGGGATAAAGAGCAGCAGAAGCTGCCGTGTCCAGCAGCGCTAAATATTCTTGAAGACGCGTCAGAGCGGGCTCACAAGAATACCAATCAACGTTCACACTACCATGTGCGCACGTTACCAGTCAGATTAAGTCCTGAATCCACCCACCGGTATGAACTCGAGCACGGCGGACCCCGGCTGCAGCATGGGCGCGTTGGCCAGGTTTGACGTGTGCACGCTGACAAACAGCCCCGTGCCGCGCATGGTCAGCAGCTGCTCCTGCAGGCTTGATGTGCCGTTGAACTCCACCACCCTGTTGACCAGGATTGCGTTTTAAAACAGAGGGTGTTGACGCCCATGATACGAGGTTGACGCTCGACACGCAAGCAAGAGGGCTGCAGGGGCAGGAGGAGGTGTGCTGTGTGCGTCGGCTGCCCCAACTGCCTGCATCAGATGGAAGCGTCGGCGCGGACGCTCCACCCTGAAGAGTCAGCCCTGGCTTTTGGAAGTGCGCAGCCTGGCCGACCCACCAGGGCCCCGATGTACAAACAGCGTGAGTCTGACGTTCTCAACTCCTCAGCGGCGCGCCTCAGTAGCATTCAGCAGCCCAGATGGTTGCGCAGGCCTGCCCCTCAAAATGCTTCCGCATTGAGGCGCCGCGCATCTGCCCATCCGGCTTACCTGACTTCCCCATAGCTTCTCAGCAGATGCAGCAGGTCATCCTCGTTGAGCACGCGTCTGTTGGCGCGCTTCCGCTGGAAAGTGATCGTGCGCGGCACGGCCTCGCGGCGCGCGGGGCGTGGCAGGCCTGGGGATGAGGGTGCCGGTATGGGGGTGGGGGTGGGGGAAAAGGGACGCGCGTGGTGGAGGGCGGGGTTGAGGTGGTGAATGTTGGTGATGGCGAATGGATGCCGTTTTTCAGTCACCCACAATTATCGTGTGTGCACACATGCGTGCCGTGTTCGCTGCAAAGCACGCTCAGCATTGCCCCAAGGCAACGCCCTGGGTCTCGTGTGTAACACCGCCCTGTCAACACCATGGATCCCAAGCTACAACATGGTAAACCAAATTTGATGCGCAACCAAAGCAGGCGCAGTCTGAAATTCAAAACCCTCGGCAGACACGATTCCTCAGCCAAACCATTGTCAACCACCAACAGCAGCAAGACTACATCCACCACCGCCACCACCAGCGGCGCCACCACCACCACCACCACCAGGAGCAGCGGCGGCAGCAGTAGGAGCACCAAATCCACCATCACCACCAACACCACCACCAATACCACCACCACCAACACCACCACCAACACCACCACCACCAACACCAACACCAACACCATCGCCGCCAGCAGCGGCAGCGGCAGCAGCAGCAGCAGTAGCAGTAGCAGTAGCAGTAGCGGCAGCAGCAGCAGCAGCAGCAGCAGCAGCAGTAGCTGCAGCAGCAGCGGCGCCGCTGCCTGCGCTCACCGTAATGCGCGTACACGGCGGCCCTGAACTCGTGGGCGTCCTCCCGCGAGGCGAACGTCCTGGAGCCGCCCGTGAACACATCGCGGATGATGAGAACCCGCTCAAACACGACCCACATGCCTGCGGGCACGCCCTCCAGAGGCATGCCTGGGTAGGGGCGCGGAGGGGGAGGGGCCGGCCAGCCAGTCGGGAGGGGGGTGTAAGTGGTGGGGGAGGCGGAGTGCAGGGGCCGACAGGGGCCAGCACACCTGCGGGATTTGTTGCAACCCAGAGGCTGCATAATGCGGGTGGATAGAATCATCAACAGACATGAGCAGTGCTGCTGCAAAATCTAACCATCGCGCGCCCACCTGTCTGTGCATATATGCTGTCCGTCGGTTCTTGGAGGTATATGGGCGGCAGCGAGTTGCGCGGCCCCACGCCCAGCGCGACCGCGAGCATCGCGCGCACCCACTCTGGCAGGTGGCTACGGCGCAGGTGCAGCAGCACGAAGCTGTCGCAGGGGCGCTTGAAGGTGATGCGCTTGAGGACGCTGGTGAGAGAGTGCGGGGGCCAGTTGAGGGTTCCGGATTCAGACTGGGGGATTTGGGATTTGGGAAGGGGGGCAATGGGAGGGACGCGAGGGCAGGGGCGAAAAGGGTAGGGCGCATGGGGAGGGGCGCAAGGGATGAATCTCCGGATGTCGGAACAGACGCAAAGTGTTCAGGGGACAGAGGACGAACCATGCGATCGAACAGCCCCGTAGCAGCTTCGCATGACAAACACGTAGGAGTTAGTACGTTGATGAGGCACTGCGAACCGGGGTGAAAGTGTTTGCTGCAAGACCTCGCTAGCATAGAGCTGTTCGCCTCTGCATCAAGGATGTCCTGAAACGTCTCCAACGCCGCAACTGCGGTCCCGCCTGCTCTCTGGGTGCCAGCCCCGGCCCCTCCCCACCTGAACAGCGGCGCCACCATCTCCCACCAGTGGCCTATGGCCGTCGGGTGGGTGAAGAATATGTAGTCAAACAGCAGGGTGTCCCCCCTCTGGACCCGCCAGTCCACGCTGGCCGCAAACGCTTTGGCGTCCGCCACATGCAGCGTCAGGATCTCCTGGAAATCGCATGAGATGGCCGGCTCGGACAGGTCAGCAGATTGCTCAATATCAGATGACGTGGGTCAAAATACGTTTGACCGGGGCTTCCTGTAGGTGCTGCGACGGGATCCCTACGCAGCCTGGGCAAAAGCAAACCGCCAGGCGCGAGGGCCAGCCACAGCGCCCGGTGGGGGCCTCCCACGCAGGCCCCTGGGTGCCGGTGCCCCAAAAGGAGTTGCTGACTCGCGAAAACCACAGCGCTGCATCCGTTGTGCGTCCGGCTGCCAGGCACCAAACGCGGAGGGCGCAGCCCACCTGGTTCCGGCTGAAGCGCCAGGAGGGGACGTGGTTGGGGCCATCCACCAGGGCATACCACCTGGGGCCCGGCGCGAACGGGCAGGGAGGGGGGCCGGCTTCACATTCAGGTGGTGTGAAAGAAACGTGTGCAGGGTCGGGACAAAGGGGTGGGGAGTGGGGGCCGCATGCGCCACACCCGGCAGCGATGCCGTGGGGCCCACTGTGGGCAGCTGAAAGGAGGGCGTGAGGCGCCCCGGACCCTGGTACAGGGTGTCCATGGGGTCAAAACATGCACTCGTGCGCGTTGCGGCGATATTGGCTCACATCAATCCTGCGCTCGCCACACACAGGCCCTCCAGCTGCGCCCGCACCCCACGCCTGCCCCACCCGCACCCCCCAGCCGGCCAGCCAACGTGCCGGCCCGCCGCCCAGCCGACCTGCCGGCCTGCCGCCCAGCCGCTTAGC